TGTACAAAAACAATAAAACATCAAGGCAGTCGCAAACTAAGTGCTAACGAACGCGATTCAACGTTGTTGATTACCAGATGTATTGTTTGCTGATTTAAATGAGCTCTACTAAAAAAAAACCTTTGATGTTTTATGAATGATCATCTCCGCGGTATGAGGTCCATTTGTTCGAGTTTGATGAGTCTTAACGGAACGTCGGATTCGCAGGCCCCATCTCTGATCTGGGATCATCGGCCCTCGTCGAATATACGACCTTTAATGAATGCACACGAAATAAAAGGGATCAGGGCTTGACATCATCAATCAAGCACGCTCATTAGTTTCGAGCGTCAATGGCAAAGGTCAAACGTTCAAAAGGAAAAATAACCGGCCGGCCGGTTTTATCTGCTGGCGATATTTCCGAACTGAAAAATATTTCCCGTTCGAGCCGCCCACGATCGTCCCACGGCAAGGTCGAAGACATTACGAATCCGTATTGAAAATCGTGAACTATCACATCCCACGACGTGTGCAACTATGCTAGACATTCATGCTGCTGTCAGGTTGTCGACTGAAGAACCTCGATCCGTTTTAACCCCACAACAAAAGTTCTTTCCGCTTAGTCCTCTAGCTCAGGCATGATCGTAGAAAATAAAATTCGTTGTGAAACCCTCTCGACTATACGCCTGCCTTATAGAATTCCAAATTGTTCAAAATAAGTTTCTTGGTTTGATCACCAGAGTCAGCATCCTTCACGATCAGTATGTAGGCTGGTTAAAAGACGTAATGTAGTTCCGCGCCATTTCCCCTGTAAAATAAAATAAAAATACATTAAATTTTATTATATTGTTCAAAGATTGTACAGTGTGAAAAAATAAAATAATAAAAACAATATTAATTGTGAGAGTACCTAATTGGACCAGTGTGATGAACCTGTATTTTGGTCGTTTCCCATCATCACTGAATATGCTCTCTGTTATGACCCGTCGGAAGCAGTCCTGCTTCTTCGGTTTCTGCTTATACTCGTACTCTCCGAAAACGAGTACAACGTTATCGATTCCCATACCAAACTGCAAGTTCATAACCCCGCAGACAGGAAAAGATCACACACTAGAATATTTTGTTTTATAATAGATATCTTGATGTTGATGAGGTGATGAACCTGCAACCGATCATGCCGGTCTGATTGACTTAGCAGATTTCAGCATTTTAGCCAGATTTCGGCTTCTCACAATTTTCACAGGCAGGGCTGTGTGAAATGAGAAATTTTAAAATTTAATGTGTTGGGTTTACTGACCGTTAGCCGATGATTGTTTGGAGATCGTGAGGTGCGGTCTGGTGTGACGTAGGTTTTAGAAAAACATTTTTTTTTATTGTGCCAACGTTTCGATCTTTATTGAGATCATCTTCAGGGCCTGGGATTTATAAGCATTGTTTTTTTTTCGGCGAAGAATTAGCCACGTTTTTCTCATTGTCGGCTCCTTTCGTCTCAAAGAGGCCGACTCCTCATGTAAAAATGTCTTTCAATTCTAAGAATGACACATCTACACGGAAAACAAACACTTCTAGTGAGTACAAATACTTTGATTGAATCATAAATTTTCTAGCATTGTATAAATTGTTTCTTTTTTTAATCTAAAATTTTCTAGCATTGTATAAATTAATTTTTTTTAATCTAAAATTTTCTAGCATTGTATAAATTCGTTTTTTTAAATCTAAAATTTTCTAGCATTGTATAAATTCATTTTTTAAATCTAAAATTTTCTAGCATAGTATAAATTCTTTTTTTTAAATCTAAAATTTTCTAGCATTGTATAAATTTATTATTTTTTATCTGAAATTTTCTAGCATTGGATAAATTCATTCTTTTTTAAATTTAAAATTTTTTAGCATTGTATAAATTCATTTTAAAATCTACAATTTTCTAGCATTGTATAACATCATTTTTTTAATCTAAAATTTTCTAGCATTGTATAAATTCATTATTTTTTATCTGAAATTTTCTAGCATTGTATAAATTCATTTTTTATAATCTAAAATTTTCTAGTATTGTATAAATAAATTTTTTTCACATCCTACATTTATTTGTAAAATTTAAACAATATTTATAAATCCCAGGCGCTGAAGATGATCACAAGAAAGATCGAAACGTTGGCACGATAAAGAAAATGTTTATCTAAAACCTACGTCACACCAGACCGCACCTCACGATCTCCAAATAATCTTAAAATTTAAATCCATTACAGTTCGTGGTCCGATTAACCAATTAAATTTTTTCAATTAATTAATCTTTATGAAAGGTATTGGTTGAGATAAAAAAGTCTCTTTTTATCTCAACCAATAGCTTTCTTAAAGATTAATTAATTGAAATTTAAATTTAAAATATTAAGGACAAAATAGAAAAATTGAATTAAAACTGTGAAATCAATAAAATTTCCATGTAATACCATTCCTTCCTTAACTTCTTTTAATCAATTTTCCTTGCATCAGATCAGAGAGTTACTTTTGCAACTAAATTATTGATTATTAAAATTTTAGAGGGCTGTTTTTGCACAATTACATATTCGGAATTTGTGAAAGGCATTATTAACGAAGTGTTCATCACCGTAACGACTACGTTTAACTTAATAATGCGAATTTGTATCAACGATGACGACGTAGGATGCGAAGAACCTTCTATAAACCTACGCGTGAAAGCGAGAAAATGAAAATCGTCTCTTATTCAGCCTTGGAGGCAAATTTAGTCGACAAAACATGTCCTGGTTGACGATGTCCTTTTTCTTTTTTCCTGCTAAAAAAATATCTCGAACCTGTTTACGGATTTATTCCGATTTTCCCCATTTTGAAAAAACAACGAGGGAAAAAGAAATCATTGATTCGATTGGGTAATTTTCCTCCTAAATTGAATGATCATTCAAACTTAAAAATTATCATTATAATAACTTTGGCACATGGAGAAGTGTGATAATCATAAACTAATATGTTTGACATAATAAATAAAAATAATTGCTATACCATATGAAATGTTTCATCTTGAGCATAATGAGTGTTGTAAAATCTGTCCTCTGCTCCCAAAGACGATTTATCCTTTTTTTTTAATTTTTCGCAAAAACTTTAGACCAATTTAGAACAATATAATAAATTTCCTTTCTTAACCCATTACAAAGATATTCCAACTAACTTAACTTATGAGCATGGTCAACGCTCAGTCAAACCCTAGTCTGAATTTTTGGTGTCGGATGTTCTACTTTTAACTAGTTGCTCAGTTTGGCGATAAAATGTGATAATTCAGGTACTTTAGTTTTGGGAAAACTATCTTGTTTTTTTTTCTCGAGCTCTTTAAAATGACAGTTGAAAAAGCAGGCTTCTTCTCTGCTAACAGGTGTTGCTCTTATGCTCTTATGTTACTCTGGAAGACAGACACTATCTCCAATACGATCTTTAGGAGGAAACAGACGGGGTAGTAATGCGCAAATCCGTTTAATCCCGCCAACACAGGATTATGGAGGTTGTCCACCTACTCGTCCATCGCTTAACCTGGCGAATTAGACAATCAAGCCACAAGAGCTAGTTAGCTAATTAATCTCTTGATTCCTTTCAAGGCCTCTCATTCAAGAGAAAATTGTAAAGCAAGTAAAATTTCTTTTGAAAAATTAACAGTGACACGTATATCGGAGGTCTCAGGATATGTGGGAGTAGAGAGCAACGAGAGAGTGGCCGCCATTTCAAGAAAAGGTGCTGCTATTCCTTCTGTGGCGTAAGGATTCACATTATCAATGACTTAGACAAAAAGACAAAATGAAGATGAGGAAACAGTAGAATTCACTCATTGGATATAAACAACCCAACAATATTCTAGGAAATTTTGTAAGGAAATAAACAACAGAATGCATCAAAGGATGCAGGAAAAACTTGGAATCCTGACAGGATCTTAATAGCATTCTGCAGACTAAACAACGATGGTATAACCCAACACGGCACGTTTAAATTAAAGGAAGGAGGAAAAAAACCGCGAATCCTACCTAACAGGACACTGCAAACTAAATGGACATCTGAAGAAGATTGGTATAACTCAACACTGCACGTGCAATTCTGCAAAGAAGCAGAGAAGTCACCAACTCAACCCCTAACAAACTTTTGAAAGAATGGGGTAACAGAATCCATTAAAGGAAGCAGAAAATTAGTGCGAATCCTAACAGGACACTGCAAACTAACAGGACATCTGAAGAAGATTGGCATAACTCAACACCGCACGTCAGATTCAGCAAATTAACACGGCAGACACAAACACAACCCCTAACAAACTTTTGAAAGAATGGGGTAACAGAATCCATTAAAGGAAGCATAAAATTAGTGCGAATTTTATCTGATGAAGATTGGCATAATTCAACATGGCACGTGCAGATTCTGCAAAGAAGCAGAGAAGGCACCAACACAACTCCTAACAAACTTTGGAAGGACTGGGGTAACAGAATGTATTAAAGTAAACAGGAAAAACTGCGAATCCTAACAGGACACTGCAAACTAGAAGGACATCTGAAGAAGATGGGCATAACTCAACACCGCACGTGTAGATTCTGCACAGAAGCAGAGGAGACACTAACACAACTTTGAAGGAAGGAATTTCATTTTTCAACACAAAACAATTAGAATAGATGTTTAAAAACAATAACCAGGTTCACCTAATATTGGAATATTAAAAATATAAAATAAAGAAATCATCAGTGTACTCGATTCACCTAGATAGGGAAACGCCTCAAATTACACATAAAAACTTGGGAAAGTATTGGCATTTTGTATGTTTTTACATGTTGCTGTTTGCTTCTTTTCATATAAAAGCTGAGTTTCTGTTTTATTCGAACAAACGTTGTGATAAGACGAATTATCGACATGAGTTTTGACAAATGGAAACCGATGCGATCTAAAATGAAATGAGGCAATTTGTTACAAACTACATCCTCCCTCTGCAAAAACCTCGATATATATAGGCTAACGAGCTCAATAATTATCTTCTGAAGGAATATGATCACCGTTGCTGTGGTTTTGACGGTGTTGTGCCTCGTCTTCAGCCCTGCCGAGGTAGGCTTGTCGATGAATCCTGGCATTGTTTTTATGAACTTTATTACTTTCAGGGTAGGAAAACTGTGATAGATTTCGAAAAGGTGGAGAACTGCAAGGGTTTCAAAGGGCTGGCAGTGCTGGAAGGCATAGAAATCGTCAACCTCGGACTGCGCGGGACAGGGCTCAACGCTTTGGTGAACATCACAGGGCCAATCCCTGACAAAATAAAGGTATAATGAGTATATTCGTTCTTGGCTTAATTGGACGGAACTTACCCAATTTTAGAAACATTTTATCGCCTTATGAGCAGTAATCAGTTAGTTCAACAATTTGGGTACAATGACTTGAACTTTGTGTATAGGCATAGCATAGTGAACCGCTCTTTAGTTTAAACCTAACTTTTTTTTTGTTGATAGCTCTTTAAAAAATTTAAATTCTGAAGCATGCTTTATAATATTTATAAACTTGCAGTCCTTTGCAAATATGTGTAAATTGTTGTTAATATTTTAAATAAAGATTCTATTCTATGCTATGGGGTAAATTATGATAAGCTGACAATTGTAAATAGGCAAAAGGAGACCCGTTTTAATAAATCTTTATTTCAAAAAACTTTAATTGAAATGAGAAAAAATTCATTTTCAAAGAAAACACAATTTTGTGGGGACAAAAAATGTGGGGACCGCGGTAGCCGAGTAGTTAGCGTGAGAGACTCTCGGCTCATAGACGCCACGGTCGTTGGTTCAATTCCCACCGTCGCCTCTGGCCCTTTTTTCACGATAACCCCCCCCCCCAAGAAATTTTTTTTTTTTTTAGGGGGGCATCCGACAGTATTACAACACACATTCAAAGCGCACTCACGGAAATAAATACATTCACACCTATATGCACTGCATTCATTCTATTTGGTAGATGGAGTACTCCATATTCCTCCATCACCTGCATACAATAACAAAATAATCTAATTGGGGTCGATTTATAAATATTCCGCCTTCGACCTAGGTCAAGTGCACGGCTCGAGGGCGATGGGGTGAAATATTAAAAAAAATTAATTAAAATGTTAACAAATTAATTTTCATAGAAATCATATATTTTTCGGGGCATTCAGCAGCATTACAACGCACATCAGCCCCTCCCCATTCACTCTAATAAATTCACTCACTCATACAAAACACGTAGATACAACAAAAAAAGCGGAACAGGACCCTGAAACTCGTTAGCGTGCCCGAGAACCATTCTTACATCCGGCGGCATGCCTACACGCTCTCTGTATAGAGCCAAAGCATGACACGCCTCTATTATGTAGGGCACAGCGAGCGATAAAATTTTCCTTATGAAAGTTGTCTTTTTGTACCATAGGAACAAAAGCACACTCAAACAATGAGATAGACAGATCCAGAGACTAAAAAAATTGTTCATAGGAAAGCCTGTAGAAATAGCTAAAAAGTGTGCTAAACCAGATCACTCCTATGCTTGTTACCTTAACATGTCTCCTCGGATTCCTATTTTTACCGTGACCTCTGTGGGGGTCGGCGGCATAGTAAAAAGTTATAAAAACATTCAGACTCTGCTCATGCTTATGTAATGTTCACAAACCACTTAAAAATAATAAATGAAGCAATTTGCGCCCCGTTGGCCCAGTTGATAAACCTGTTTTGAACAGGGACCTTTCCGTCTACTTATGAAGTTATCAACTGCAACACCTGTTTTCAAAAAACGGAGACAAAAGTAGCAAAGAGACCCTTAACTCTTACCCCAGCATTTTCAAAAAATATTTGAAACAGTTTATAAAATAAAATTAAATAACTTTCATAGATAAAAATAAAGCATTTTGGCTTTAGTCTGGGAATAGCTATGAGGAATAGTTATGAAAAAAATGCAAATTATACAATATGATCTGACCTTTTTGGCACAAAAAACCACCACTTGCTCTTAGAGAAAGAAGCTTCAGCATTTTTGTGTTAGGGGTGCTGTTATTGAATTTTGTAAAAGATTCCCTGTAAATAGACAATTGTAAAAGTTAATAATAACGCTTGTAGTCAGAGAATTGTGTTAAGTTCAATCCTAGAACCACTTTTTTTTAAAACATATATAAAGACGATTTAATCAGTTTTGTAAATAAGTTTATTAGGTTTCGTGGTCCGCTTGACCAAATAAATTCTTTTCAATTAATTAAGGTTTTGGTTGAGATAAAAAAGTCATTGTCACAAGCGGGATTCGAACCCACGACCGGTTCAATACACCGCTGTTCTACCACTTGAGCTAACGTGATTTCGATGCTCTCGTACACCAACTCTCCAGCTCAACCTACAACCGTTCGAATTTTCCCTCTTTTTGCCATTTTCAATCTCAACCAAGACCTTACATAGAGAGAATAATTAATTGAAAGAAGTAAGTTGGTCAATTGATCACTAAAACGTAAATGAAGTTCGAAGTCAATTTTAAGTTGAGATAAAAAAAGTCAGTGTCACAAGCGGGATTCGAACCCACGACCTTCGGCTTGATACGCCGCTACTCTACCACTTGAGCTATTGTGACTTCCATCCGCTCGGTGTACACTAACTTCCCATCCCAACCCCACCTTTCGAATTTTCCCTCCTTTTTGCCATTTCATTTGTCGCCGAGAATCGAATAGGTTACACGACATTTGAAAAATGCTTATTTAGCCGAGGGTCGTTGGTTCGAATCTCGCTCGAGACACTGACATTTTTATCTCATAAATAAGATAGGATAAATAAGAAAAGGATTTTAATAATTAATTTAAAATTAACCTCATAATTAAAAAAATAAAATAAAATAGTGTGCCAGCTCGCCATGTCTGTTTTTTAAATTATTTCACGAGTTTTATATAATAATTTAAATTATTTGTCTTTTCGTGAGAATGTCACGTTCAAAATTTAGTGTAAGTGTTATACTTCTGTTTCTCTGCAGGCGAGTGTTGACGCTAGTAAGTGCAAGTCGGCCGAGGATGGGGAATGCGAGCACTTCGTTCATACGAATCACGACTTCTGCCAGTTGTTGAGGGACAAAAAACAGTTTTACACCCCCCTGTTCGACGCCGTCACCCCGCGGCCGTTTTGCCCCGTCAAAAAAGTAAAAACTGCCACTTTTATTATTTTGCTCAAAACCCAATTGGATTTGGCTTGTTCGCAGGGAGTGTTCCGGGTGTCGAATGCGACCATGGCGTCGAACGAGGTAGTCTCGTTAATCAAATTCGTGCCCAGCTATATGAACATCCACTGGCGAATCACGGTGAAAGCCTATCCGGCGAAGAGCAAAGAGGTCCTCCTGTGCATAGTCATAACTTTCAAACTGAAAGACCTCCGCGAATGAAACTGAACGTCCGTACTCACTGCGTTTTTCATTCATTCAAAAGAATGGACAGTCATCGTAATGTTAAAAACTAAAAATTATAGATTTTTAACTCGCAAACTGTTTTATTGTCCCTTACTACATAACAAAACGGCCATATTTCATTTGTCATAATGTGGGCAAAGATTTCTTCTACTTTAGTAAGTCTGTCAAAAGAAGATCAATATCAAAGAGTTCCGAAGAATTTCATTGGTTTATATAATCATATCACAGCTGGGACCAAATACTCAGAACCCGTGGGAAAATTCATCAGTATCTTCCAAGCTGAGATTCATGCAATCGAAACATGTACCCAAGTCAACCTGAGTAAAGGGTACAAAATCAAGAATATAGCTATCATCTCAGATAGCCAAGCAGCCATCAAAGCACTAAGCTGAAATATCATTCGTTCAAGGATGGTGCTGAACTACCAAAAAAGAATAGGAACGAGAGGGAAACACCTCTTTTAAGAACGACACCATCTATTGATACAGAGATGGATCTAGAACGCAAGAAGGTACAAGGGCAGGAGTAGATAGATAGATAGATAGATAGATAGATAGATATACTTTATTTACAAAATGAAAAAATTTAAAGTTAAAAATAAATAACACAGTATTGTTATGGCATGGTATTAAAACCGTCAGCCAGAGTTCGGAGTGCATTACTATCCCAAGAATATGCATAATTATATAATTATGAGAAAAGGAGAATTTAAAATATCAACTTCAGAGGTTACAATTATTTACAGGATTTCGAAATTACAAGGTTGAATTGCGATAAATTTTGAAAATAATAAAAATGACACTTCAAAGAACAAAAGGATTCTAACTTACATAGGGTCCCCCACAGGCCAACAGAATTCGCATTTAGAAGCCCACAAACTAGAAATTATATGTATTAAGACAAACAGAACAAAAAAATAAAAAAAAACAGAAAACAAAAAAAATAAATAAAAAAGACAAAGAAAAAAGAAACAAAATAAGACGAAAAGAACATTAATTCCCTACATTCCAATGTATTCATATCTGTAAAACCAGGCTTTCCGAGCAAAATCAACAAGACCCCCGCAATCGGAGCCGTTCAGAAAGGCTATGAGCTCTTCCCTCGTCAGAAAACCCCTACCCACATACAGATACCTCAATTCGTTCAGGACCGAGCATCTAGCGAGAAAATGAAATGCATCCTCACGATCACCTGAGTTGCATAGAGAGCTCACTGCAGTGGCAGGAGTACTCCCAACCCAAGGCCTGAAATCGAGAGATGTACTCAACTTGACTAAAGGGCACAAAAACAAGATGTCAGATAGCCAAACAGCCATCAAAGCACTACGCTCAAATATCATTCGTTCAAGGATGGTGCTGAACTACCAAAAAAGAATAGGAACGAGATGGAAACACCTCCTTTAAGAACGGCAGCATCTACTGATACAGAGATGAATCTAGAACGCAAGAAGGTACAAGGGCAGGAGTATTCGGTACTGGAACCAAATACTCAGAACCAATGGGAAAATACAACCAGCATCTTCCAAGCTGAAGTCCATGCAATCGAAAGATGTACTCAACTTGACTAAAGCACAAAAACAAGAACATAGCTATCATGTCAGATAGCCAAGCAGCCATCAAAGCACTAAGCTCAAATATCATTAGTTCAAAGATGGTGCTGAACTGCAAAACCAAAATAAACATATTAGGTACGCAGAATAAAGTTAGGCTCTGCTGACTCCCAGGGCACATGGGAGTAGAAGGCAACGAGAAAGTGGACACCCTTGCAAGAAAAGGTACTGCTGATAGGACCCGAACCCTTCTGTGGCATAGGAACTTACACTATTAATGAGTACCTCAGACAGAAGGACAAAAAGAAAATGAAGGAACAATGGAATTCACTCATTGGACAGGCAATCCAAGAATCTCTTAACAAATTTCGGAAGAAAAGAAATTACAGAATGTGTCAAAGGAAGCAGGAATAAACTAAATCCTAATAGGATTCTTAACAGGACACTGCAAGCTAAAGGACTTATAGAAGATTGGAATAACCCAACACGGCACATGCAGATTCTGCAAAGAGCCAGAGGAGACACCAACACATCTCCTAACACACTTTGGAATCGGGTAACAGAATGTACTAATGGGAACAGGAAAAACTGCGAATCCTAACAGGACACTGCAAACTAAATTGACATCTGAAGAAGATTGGCATAACTCAACACCGCACGTGCAGATTCTGCAAAGAACGAGAGGAGACACCAACACATCTACTAACAAACTACGCTGCTACACTTGCCCGTAGGAGGAAATTTTTTTGGGATGTATAATGTGACCATAGAAGTGCTTCAACCACTAAAACCGGGCCTATTAATCAAGTTTCTTGACGAAATAGGACTTACCGTGCGAGAACGGGGGATTCAATAGCTCTTAAAGGGCGCAGTATAACATACCCTGAACAATTACTTCTACAACATACCCCCCCCCAGTAATAGTAAACAGTGTAACCCAGATTACCTGTCGAAACTTTATTCAATGTGCAACATGCTTTCCGTAGCGCACTGCTTTATCTCTAATCTATTTTGGACACTATATAGCAAGCAACTCAACAACTCTTTAGCAGTCATGACGCTTTTGAGGATGAATTAAATAAGCTTTAATAAGCCCCATTGTTCAAGCTTTGACGATATGGCGATTTTTTTCATTGTTGGCTCCATCCCTAAAAGATAACTGCCCAACACAACCCACATGAGTCTTCCTTATAAGATCTCATCGCCCGAGTTTTTAAACCATTGGGCATTAGCACAGTTTTTTCCTTATTTATCAAGAAACTTGCAGCTTGTTTTATTAAGTTACGATAACGTTTTAGTTAGTTTTACTCTCTTTCTGATACTGACAGGAAACATTACACTTACCTATCTACATATAAACTTATACCATATGAAAACAACAACTTCAGGTCTTTTTAGAAAATTGAAAACACCAAATTTGGAAATATAAGTTGTCAGTCAAGTCTACCAGTCTGAAAATGTCTCTTTGCTGGAAGTTAGCCATGAATGCATCACGAAGAGTCCTTTCAAGATCATGGAGTGAATCAGGAAATGATGGACGTGCTCTTATCGTCTCTTGAGGTTATCACATATATGTTCGATGGGGTTCAAGTCTGGAGAAAGGGCTGGCCAGGCTAAGACCCTGACACTATGCTGTTGAAGGTGCGTTTGTACTAAACGAGCGACATGCGGATCGTGCCTTAGATTAGGATTGTCGCTGAGTTCATGGAGAATAGGCAACGCATGATCCACAATTTCATCCATATACCGAGTGACCGCCACAGACTCTCCACGAACAACAGCCAACTCTGTGCGACTCTCCATGGAAATTCCCGCCCACACCATCATTGAGCTAGGTTGAAAAGGTTAGCTGTGGTAAAAATTAGAAACTTCGTACCTTTCATTTTGCCTTCTCCATGATCTTTCACGCCCATCTGGGGATCGTAGAGCAAATCTACACTCATCTGTAAAAAGTACAGCAGAGCAATCGTCCAAAGACCAATGGCTGAGTTCTCGAGCAGATGGGAGCCGTGCAACTATGTGTGTTCTGGTCAATTCTGGTCCTCTTACTGCGCGAAAAGTCATCAGTCCATACTCATTTAATCTTGTTCGAGCAGTGCGTTCAGAAATTTGGACACCTCGAACTTCCTGGAGCTGATGAATCGCTTGAACAACAGTAAGATGCCGGTTTCGCAAAATTCTCAAAGTCAAAAAACGGTCATCCTGTGGTTCTGTTATCATATGGCGTCCAGAAGCGAGCCTTCCATGGTAGGACCCAGTTGCTAGAAAACGTCTAGCAGTTTCGTATGGAACTCCGATGACAATAGCCACAACCTGATGGAACGTCCTTCATCGATAAGTGCCACACCACGCGCTGTTCCTCTAGTCCTCAGCACTAGGTACTAAGTGGTATTTTTAAGTTTAATATATCCTAGGGCCTCCAGGTTTTTCGGTTTTAGATCCAGTTTCTCGAGAACGTCTAACTCCGATGGCGATAGCCGCATACCTGATGGAACGTCCATCATCAATAAGTGCCACTCCACGCACAACATCCTCAGCTCTAAGTGGCATTTTTAAGTTTAAAAATTGAAATTAAGAAAACAAAGATGAAAACTAAACAGTTTATTGCTTCAGTATTCAAAGGAGACTGAATAAACATTTTAAATTCCGTAAAAATTAAACATTGAAAAATCCATTATCTATATTTTGGATTGAGGATTAAATGTTTACCTCTAGTTGATATTCCTAATTTAAAATATAGCATATTTATTGATAAAAACAATGAGACAAATTGAGGGCAAAATTTTCTTTTATCGAGAAAATGTAAAAAAAAATCAGTTGGGTGGAATTTCTTAGCTTGTCAGTTTATTTGATTAGCAGTATATTAACATAGATTATAAATCTAAAGCTTCAATTTGTGTTTGTTCAATTTTGCCGACCAAAAAAGATAAACAACAAGAGGAACGGGTAATTTTGGGATTCACTCGGAAACCGTTGAATCGGAGATGATTCGACCAAATCACCTGCCATTTCGAAAGTACAACTGTTTCCTTCGTAAAACTAAGTGTGTAATTAAGCGCAAGGTTTTTCAGAGTGGAAACTCGAAGACCGTTATGAGGCTGAAAGTTATGACGGACATTATTTCAGCGGAAATTCCTCGGAGTCACTCGGCTCAAATAATCGGTCGACTATCGAACCCGGTTCCCGAAGGATCTGCAAAGCCCGATCGGTGAAAACGCGCTAATTGTCTTTGCTCCAATTAACAGCTTATCCGATAACAGCTTTTAGCGGCCGCGAAAGCTTGGAATAATTGGAGGAGATTCCAGTGCAGAAAGTGTGATGCGGTTGCAGGTCGTGACGTGCATGTATGACAAGTGTTTAATGAACGGCATCGGGTCCGTAGGGTTCGATCCTGGAAAAAAGCATGTACGACCGTCATCTCGGTCAATCGTGGATCTGAGACGCGCAGGCGGTTTTACCTTTTGTAATCACACAAAGTTTTCACTTTTTTACAAACATATGGCAAT